GTCCAATTTTACCTCAGGGGCAGGAATGAGGTCCCTCTACCCTTGATCGATGAATGATACTTTGTGACGTTGAGCGCAGTTCAAAGCATAGTTGCATCTAATTGGTTTAATGCCATGATCTAACACACAGCTATATCAAGTTGGAGCAGCATCTTACCAGTAAAGCGCTTGCATCTCAATGTAACACTTTCACAAATAAAGAAGCTAAATATGGCCTCATAAAGTACTTAATGTTATTTACACTTTAAGCAATACATTATTTAACGCCTTTCGTGGTAGGAAAAATTTATGAATTGTAGGGATAAGATCAAACACTAACACTCCTCCGACTTGCAAACATCATAAAAGAAATGATTGGAAGTAATGCAACATTGGCGATAAAACAAAATTAGCGCACCCTATACAGATAATAAAATGAACATCACTAAAACACCAAAAAGAATAGTTACATTCAAATACTATTCCATGTATTAACACTTTTCATGCAAAGCACCAAAAAAAGGGTGGAATACATGGGCCGACTTAAGAATATAGATGACGCTTCCATCCCGGAGTATCTGACCTAGTCAGATATGCTCCCTCAAAATAACTAATGGATGATGAAAATACTTCAGTTGTTGCAGCGTATTCGCAAAAGACTTTGTGACCACCCCTAAGGCTCATAGAAGTACATTCTTTTAATTTTTGAGTCAGAAAAGATTTTTGACTACGTAGAAACTCCAACTCCTTTTGGGAAGAATCAAGAGCCTCAATCTTCTTCTCTATCATCCTCGCCATATGCATCACCTGACCATCAACAGTGCCATGGAAGGAAAACAGAACCAGAGCTTTACTTATCTCCTTCATAGAGTTAGAAGCCTTATGCAACTCTCTTAAGTACATATCTCTTTGAAGAATTAAGTTGTTAACACTCATATCCAGTCGACATTTCTTGTCAAATTCTCGGTCTGTCCAAAGAGCTTCCCAACGGACGGACCTTCCTAGAGTCAGAGCAATAAAAGCTCCCTTAGCAGATCACGCCAGGCTGTTAAGCTCTTTCCCTAGAGCCTGCACAGAAATATTGGTAAAGAACGTCCAATCATTGTCAAAGATTGAGTTCTGGTGCTCATAAGAAGGATCTAGACCAGTCCTTGGATCCATTTGCAAGCCTAGAAGGGCAAGCAAAAAAGAAACATTTTGATGGGATTTTGGAGGAAGCGGGAAATCTACTAAAATACCAAGTGGTTGTATTCACTACTTCAAGATCTAAGCCCTCACTTCGTCCTTTACCACATATACACAGAAACACAATTGTTATCCAAACAAGCACCAAAGCTAATCCGACGATCTTGGCGTAAGCAGGCCCATATCAACAATGAAACATCAATCAAACGCTTCAAACATTTTCTATCAACCTCAGCCAAGGGGATCCACCCCTAAGATAACCTAAGTTGTTGACAATACATACTAGCTTTTTATTTTTGCACGAGTCTTCATCAGAAAAAACTCCTTATTTATAAACATGGGTGTCATTCTCCACGAGGAAATGCTTCGTCGACCAACAATAGGGAAACAACGACTTATACTTACCCCCATAGTTTTGGCTTGGCTCCGCAAACGGTTTCATGAGCTAGGGGATGAATAAGATTAACCAAAAAGAACTGGTCAGCAAAGGACGACAACTCTGGAAATTCTTCAAAGACCTGTATCTTCGGCACCAAGGAAACTAACTCCCGTTCTCTTGTTCGGGCCGAGGTACCACGATGATAGCGGAAAAGATGGGAAAACAAGGTGATGGAATGCGTCCCCTTCAGATATTCACACAAGTATTGGTAAGTCCTCATGTCCTCAAAACTCAATGTGTGAAGTTGTGAAGGAGCCACCAACAAGTAATTAAAAACGTCAACCTCAAAAGCAATAAAGGGTTAGCAAACACCCAGAGCTGAAAAGAAATATTCGTAAAGAAGGATGATGCAATTGTCATAGTCGCTACATATTCTATCATCCTCACTAGGGGTTGTGGAACTTCAATGTGATGGTTCCCCCGCTTCAAGAAAAGTTATATCCAACTCCAACCCTCCTCCTCCACCTGACTTTAACTTCAACCCTCCTCGTCTACCTTTAATCATGTCTTTGTCGCCTCCTTCATCAAGTGTAGCAGAGTTGCCGACGAGTAGTACGTCGGGATCAACGCTAGTAAGTTCAGGTCTTGTACATGGTATTTTCTAGTCCAAGCTTGTCGAAACTCTAACTATCAAAACAAGACAGATGTTCTTCTCCGATATGGATACGTTTCTTGATTTCGTTTACTCAAACAACTTTTCGAACACTAATTGCAACACTATAAACGACAACGTAGTTTCAATTCATACCAAGCCGACTTCGGCACTGATGATGAATCATCATAACTTAGAAGCTTGCTTGAACATCTATTTTTGCAAATCGAACCATCATTGATTTAAAAATATTGTTCAAGTTAAGTATTGGACTGTGCGATATAGGATGGGATGAGAAGAAGATGAACACTAACGTGCATTTATCAGCAAAAAAGAAAAATTAATAATAATATTAATTTATTTCTTAATTAGTGTAGAGATTATAAATTAAAAAAATCAAGCTGAATTTTTTACCACAATAACCATGTTTTGACCCAATATTATTCAAATTAGCCATGTTTCCATCATAAATTTTATTATACCCAACTTTCAAACAAAAATAATTTACAGAACACCAATAGAATTGCAGATCTTTTTAAAATTTGTGAGAGAACGCCGATAGGATTGCAGTCCCCTTTAAAATTTGTGAGGGGTGTCAATAAGATTGTCGTTCCTCACAAATTTTCTCATAAATTTTAAAAGAGATTGCAATCCTATTGACGCCCCTTTCACGTGCAATTTTTTTTTTAAAAGTTGGGTATGGGTCAAAAACATGATTATTGTGAGAAAGAAATTCACAATTTACTTCTGCCTTTTCTATTTCTTTTCTATGTTTATGTGTCGGGTCACAAAAAAATTAAAATGTATTCTACTCCTTTTTATTTAAACTATATTCATTTTCATCCAAACCACATTAATTAAAGTTAAATTTGATCATAATAGTTGATTAGAAAATTTAATAATTATGTTTTACTATTAATAATAACTAATAGTAATACTACATTTATTTTAAGTGAAATTTGAATCACATTCTTTAAATTATAATTTTATAAAATAAACTATTACCACTGAAAAAACATCTTTTAAACATAAAAATCTAATAATTATACATTTTCTGTATAGAAAATTACATAAGTGGCAAATTATATCATAATTGTATAATGTCATAATATTGTTTATTATTAAAATTTCAGCATGAATATCTATCTATTCAGCTTTGGCCCTGGAAGCATCAACTTCTGTGAAAAAAAGGCTATGAAAGTTAGGTAGAGTCGATAGTGGAGCTTGAGATTCTATAAAACTTCGGCACTCAAATATGTCAATAGAAGTTGTCACCATTAAGTGAATCAGGAAGCTACTCATTTTATTGGGAAGGATGTTCTCAGCAGGAATCTAGCCTTAACAGTGTCACAAGCGATTATACTCATCAATTGGCTTAAATAAGTCAACTCAAAATAGACCCAAGTCAGGTCCTACTTCAAAGAGAGGCCTGTTTCATTTCCCCAATTTAAGACCTCAGCCAAGTCTTGGTTTGACTTCATTTGATACTATTTGATTGAGACCATCAAATAGAAAATAAGTCTACATCTAATTAGGTTATATGCCTAATTCTATCCAAAATAAAGTTATAGGCACAACACCTAAGTTTTTATGTAGGCCAACTTCAACTTGTATACAATTTAAAAAAATATATCCAACAAAAATCCATTTAGCAAAATAGTCAAAACCAGTATAAAGATTATGAAGTGCAATCAGCCATATAGCCATTCAACCTCAAAACTGAAGTAAATATTTACATGTATTGATGAAAGCATCATAATGGATATTTCATCAATTTTGCAGGAAATACTCACAATTTCACATTGCGCAAACTATTAAGTGCAACAAATCTCAACCCAAAAACCAGCCAAAATAGGAATTCAAACACAACTTTAACCCAAAATAACTGGATGCAGTATATCGACGACATCAAAATCCTATCACAGATATCATAAAAATGTGTACAGAAATTATATCATTCCACTACAGCTCAACCATGTTCAAAGTATATCGTAAACACACAGCAAATAATGGAATAAAATGTATGCAAATTTCCATCACCACTATGTTGGGAAAAGAGACAGGCAGTTAAAAAATAGTGCAAGTACCAGATAGTTTCTCATCATAGCTGGTGTCAGTGTGTCATCCTTGTTGCCATCACAATTGCATTGTTCCATTTTATGGAGGGAAGTGGAAATTGTGAGCACGAAGCAGTACATGAAGAGCTCTAATTCTCTTCGAGTAACCGTATTACTGCTGACTTAAGTAAGATTTAACATCTCATTATGCATAAACTTGTTCCATCAAATATTTCCTTCTTATTAACAGCAATCTGAACATATTCTAATTGTTATTCTACAGAAACCAAATTAATATTGACACTACAAACACTGAGCAAAATTTTCCACCTGTTGTAACATGGCCAAAACCACGCGGCAAGGAAATGCAGATATTCTCGCCCTTCAGGGCCCTATCTCTTAAGTCACAATCAGTATGGATGAAAGCAAGTAAAATATAATGAACATTTTGAGGGTGAAATCTAAATAACAGATGAAAAGGAAAGGACCAAATTTTCACTATCATTAAGTCAATAGACATATCTAGTCAGAAACAAAAAATCAGGGCTGGTATACAAACAACGCTTTCATGTAATATCAAGATGTAATGCTGAAAATTTGGACCGCACCAGCAAAATGGAAGGTCCCTTCTGCAACATTGAAGCATGTTTCTTGATACAAGACTAAGTACAGAATTTTGCAGCATAAATCTCATGGGAAGTTGCTAAGCATATTTTGACAAGAATCTAGCAAATCCATTTATGCATGCCTACGTTTTGTTCATGCCTTTCCCATGATTCTGGGGATTAAGCTCATTGTTATCAAAATATTCTTCAAAATACTCTTCCTCACTATCCTCCTCATGATCATCATAATACTCTTCATCCTCATCATCTGTGCCATTTTGAAGAAATGAATCATCATTTGATTGCTGACCTCTTAAGCTTTCTTGAATTCGATCACATATGGCAGTTCCCTGACATATACCCATGCAGTGACAACCAACAGAGAAAAAAGTTTAAAACTAAATATTAATTTTCTTGCATAATAAAAGTCAAATCATATTTTTTTTGCATAAATTAGCTCACCATCTTATGGCAACCTTCTTCAAACATTTCTAGAAATCCAGCAACCATACGATCAGCATTTTCCACCCACTCATTCCTATGCATACCAGCATTCTTCGCAACAGTTTGGATCTAGATGAACAACAAAGATGTGTACATCCATCAAAATTTCAATCCACTGCAAGCAATTTTAAAATGTATGGTACCATAAATTATAGTCGCAAGTGAATGTTCACAGCAATGACTGCTGCACAAATATTTGATATCCTTAACTTTTGACAATCTACTTTCTTAACAAGAATCTCAGCGATTCACTGTTGTTTCATCCTCAAACCTTGGCTCCATCTATACTGCCATATAAAGTTAAAATTATGGCTACTGTATATGGTAGTACCCATGCATCCTACTCCAACTAACCGAGATCTGCATTTAGCAAAGTGAGTGTCTCCACTTCTGCAGTCAGTGAGTATTTGGGTCATTTAACCAATCTTTTATTTACCCCATAAAACTATACAACTTATGGGTTGAGAACAAAAAAAGGATCGTTTAAATTGTTGAGCGTTAACTGTTTCTTAAACTGCAATTGCATACAAAATACAAATGTGAGTTTGATGACAAGAAAAGCGACACGGAACCTAAGAGTGGAAGAGAGCCAGAGTGCTGGCGTGCATCACTTTTACTTCTCTGCCTTGGCTAGAAAAACCTTTTTATGAAACTTACTTCACTTCACAACCATTTCCTTTGCCCCATTCCCAAATGCATGCACGGTGCACCTTCCAACTTAGTCAAATGATATGCATATAATAAATTATAAACCTTTTACACCAACCTTTTCTTGCTGTTCTTTTACTTTCTCTTGCAAAGTTTTCAGCCTCCTATTCACGCGCAATCGCTTTTCCTGCTCATATTAAATACCAACACAATAGAGCATGAGCTCCTCCCCAAATGGTAGACAAGATTAAGGGCAATATAAGAGTGAACAATTCACTCAATAACATATCATATAACAAGATATCAAAGAGATATAAACCAAAATCATACCTTAACATAGCTCACACCGAGATCTTTTCTTGAGTACCCACGATCCAAGTTACGCAGCACATACTGATTATAGTCTTTGACAATCCTCATTATTATATCTGATGTAGATATACCTTCAGTCCGTTGTGTTTCCTTAAATCTTCCAACTGCCTTAACCTGCATAGAAATCATACAGCTCATTATATAAGTAGCAGAAAAAAGTCCCAATGAAATTTAAAAGCAAATTAAAGAAAAAAGATAGTGAAAAATTACTCGTTCTTACAAATTCATAAACATCATTTGCAGAACCACTGGTATCAGCATATCTGTCAACATTTCATTGACAACCCAAGTCATTAGTTATATAATGCATTCAAATGCTTAAACAACAAGCCAGTAACAATACAACAACATTAACCGTACATTTGTGTCATATAAAACCTCTGAAATCCTACTCCATTTCAACCATCCAACTTAAATTTGATGGTTTATATCCCCTTCTCCATGATCATTACGCGATCAAACAGTACCAAAGAACTAAGAGTTAGAGAGCAGCAACAGAAAATGGATCTTCTTATGTAAATTCTCATATGATTTTGTGATGTAAAATGGTGACATTAAATAAATCTTCTCATATTATATCAAAACCATTCTTTTGCACAGCAATACGGTAACATCCGATGAAAATCAACTATTTTACCACATCACTCAACTCTTGTTAGTGCCTAATAAATATACTTAAATCAAAACTTTTTTTCAAATAAAATTTTTACCATTAATTTATTTAATATAATTCTATGAGTTATAGTAACTCATTAATTAAGTGAATAGAAACAAAGGTATAATTCTGAAATTAATTAATAAATAAAACTAATTTAAATTATTTAAAAACAAAAATACAAATAAATATGCAAAAATAAAAGAAACGAAATAGAATCTTACGGAAGGGAGTCATGAGCTACAAAATCAATATTGTTTTTGTCAAGAAACTCCTGATTGATAACCCAAGGTGCATCCGGGATCACTTCATCCACCCATCTGCTCACCATGAAAAAACGATTACACATAAATTTCCCTCTCTCGCGCTACAATTTACTTAGGGTTACGCTAATAAAAAATGCAAATCCACAAAAAACGCTATAATACCATACTTGCAGTGGCGGAGAGATTCATAACGTTCATCTTCAGTCATGACGGTTTTGCCTTTATATTTATGTGTTACTGCATCGCTGCAGCATCCGACGATAAGGTACGTGTTCGGAAACCTACAAATTACAAAATGAAATTAGCATATTAATCGGGAATTGATAAATGAAGAGGAGAAAAAAAAAAGGAGAGTACGATTTTTTGGCTTGTTCAAGGGAACGAGCGTGGCCGAAGTGGAAGAGATCGTAGATGCCATCGGCGTAGACACGAACTGGGCGGTCTTCAGGCGGAGGAAGATGAGGGATGGTGGATGATGATGTCATTTTCCGTCTCGATCGAAGTTTTTGTTCTCTGATTTCTTTCTCTTTTTTTAATTTACTAACGCTCACTTGCGATTCCGCGTTAATTCCGCTTATTCTTTGTTTTTTATTATTTAAAATTTTGCCGCATCTTTTATTTTTTTGGCCTAAAATTAAATACAAGTTCCTTTCAGAAAAAGTGACAGATACAAGTTGGCACCCAGGAAGTTACGTGTATTACATTCCTCCATTTGGCAGTGGTGTGTACTGTGCATGACGTGTGATTTTTTTTTATATAGTAGCGTAAATAACAATGTCACTTTGTTTGTACTATAAAAATAATACAGTATAGATTATTTTGAACTACCATGAAAGACTCGGAAATACGGAAATCAATAATTTTAGAATTTGTCATGGCACCCTTATAATTTAACCTGACACCCTCTAACCACATGTTTTTCAATCATCTCTTTAACATTCACTCTTTTATCAAACAAAATAGATATGAATCATATCTCTTTATGTGAGATAATTTTTAAGGTGAGTGACTTTAATATATTTCACCCAATAAGAGAGCGAATGTTAAAGAGTGTTAAAAAAAGAATGTTATAAAATTAATGATCATAAAAAAGCAAAATTTATATTTTATTTATCATTTTTTTTTTTGATATTTTATAAAAATGACGCGATTTATTGAATTTTTTAGTCATCTATCAAATATTTATAAGTCATTTTTTTTAACATTATGATTCTTTTGCTAGCTATTAAAGATTCGTATCGCGTTTTTATTGTCATTATGACTGAAAAAGATGACAAGTCTGTGCCTTAAACATTGCCACCAAAATTTAAGAATCCAGATAAGTTCTCTATATCTTGTAACATTGGTGAAATGGAAATCTCACAGGCCTTATGTGATTTAGGCTCGAGTATAAATGTGATTCCACTCGATAAAGTTAAAGAATTAGAATTAGGGGAAATCATACCGACCAATATCACTCTAGCATTAGCTGACACATTTGTTACACAACTTATTGGTGTCATAAAAGATGTTCTAGTGCATGTCAATGGTCTAACCTTTCCTCCAGATTTTGTATTCTTGGACATGAGAGGAAGGTCTGAAGGCTCGGTTATTCCCGGATGACCATTCTTGGCAATTGGGGAAGCAAAGATTGATGTAGAAACTGGTGAACTTATATTGAAATTCAATAAGCAAAAAGTTATTTTCAAAGTATATGATTGGATACTCTTTGTTGATGATTTGGATACTTGCTATCATCTGGAGGCAAAAGGTAACAAGGTAGCCACAGGACAAAGAAGAAATAAAGTGACCAGTGTAAGGGTTTCTCTTGCGCCTGCGTTCCTTAGGCACGAACCGTCAAGCTAATGACGTTAAAGAAGCGTTGGATGAGAGACAACTCATTAATTTTTAATCAGCTTTTTGTTTTGCAAAATTTTATTTTGTTTCAAAAATCAACCACAAGAGGAATTAGTTACCAAAGAAGAACCTAGTGAAGAAAATCTCATGTTCTTAATAGACTTACGTGTGGCTGTTGTTTTTCTTTTAGATTTACAAGTTTAGCTTTTGTATTGAACATATGATCCAAGAAAAGAACACAAAGAAGTGACTTAATCATAATGAAAGCAACTTAGGACTTAAAGGAAATGGAAGAGAAAAAAATCGACCTACTTGTACTCAACCTGCAGATACCTCATCTGGTAAGGTTTGAGCCTAAATATTTCCATTGTATATTTTTTCTTTCTTAAAGTGTATCCATGCATTGTTCTTTTATCTGCTTTGATTTATTTTCGATTAAGTTATCATGGTTGATCGATACACACAAAGGCATTTTTTCTATATAACTCTGGGTCTTTGTAAACAACCATTTAGTAGTAGGACTACCCTTTGCTAAACACTTTAAGCCTAAGCCTTTATTATGGTGACGTAGTGTTGCACCCTAAAATTTGACCAACCGATTCTCCTATCTGACTCATGGTTTAAATTCATGTTCACAGCTCAGATGCATGATTTTTGTGCACAAGCAGGGGATATCAGAGTTTACAGCTTGATTTTTGTCTATCAGATATGGCAGACCCAGTCCAGATTATCGGGGTTTTATTTTCAGGAAATTGTGCGCTCCTCAGTGATTTTTAGCTGGCACAGTAATTTTGGGGATATTCTGATGCCCGGGGATCTCTGTTCGATTCGATCTGGTCTCGTGTGCGCTTTTATGGCGATCATTTGCATTCATCTGCATTTCTAGGATTTTTATAGACTTCTGTGAATTTTAATAGGCTTTATAGATTTTTTCTGGAATTTAAATAGAGTTTTTATATTTTAATAGCTTAATTCTCCTTTTTTAGGATTTTATAGGATTTTTAAATAGATTTTAAATAAATAAGATTTTAAATAGTTTTTAGAATAATAAAGAAAAAAGGGGAATATAGTTTTTCTTTTATTACTAATAGATAATAATAGTTTAGAATTTTTCTATAGATTTTAAATAGGTTTAAGTGTTTTTAGATAATATAGAAATAATATAGTTTTTCTTTTAATAATAGATACTAGTATTAAATAATATTAGATTTTTAATAGAAAATTAGATTGATTTAGAGTTAATTAGATTTTTATTCACTTTTTAGGTTTAATTAGGATAATATGAGTTTTAATCATTTTTTAGAGTTGATTAATCATTAGTTAATTAGGTGTTAATTGTTTTGATTAGGTATTGATTAGATTTAATTGTTTTGTTTTATTCAGTTTTTTTACAGTTTTCTTTCATGGTTCGTATGGGCCCAAGGGTTCTTTTCAAGGCCCAGTCTGCGTTTTGGTTCAGCTTGAGTCCAACAAGTCCAATTTGTCCAGCAGTTCTCAGAATTCTCCAGGAGTTTCCAGAAGGTTCCACGCGTCTCCAGTGGTATAAAAGCAGACACGTGTTAGCAGAGGAGGGGCCCCACGCGTTTCTCAATCCCCACGCCACGCCACCCTCTGACTCTCTCCCCCCAGGACACGTGTATCCCATGCAAACGCTTCCCTGAGCCACCTGTCTTCCCCACATCACTCACCGGAGATTCACCAGAACACCACCGGCGGCCATGCATCAGCCCTAACTGCACACCGCCGGCCACCGCCAACAGACTCCGGCCACCGCCAACTCCGCCGGAGAACGCCAAAATTTCCAGAAATCATCCTATCTTCTTCTTTCTCCCCAGATCTCCTCCGTCACCTTCATAATCCCTTCGCCGGAAAAGTCATAGGCACGCCGGAATCTTCACCATTTTCTCCCAGAATAACGCCAATCTTCATCTTGCTCCTTCGTTCACCTTCAACGTTCTTCATCAACTTCTCCAGAACGTCATCATCGTCTCAAGTAACCACCAGATCTTCATCCATTCTCAAGCAAGATTCCCAGAAATCACCTTGAATACTCAAACCTTCATACCTCCATCAATTTTCCAGAACAACTTCATACCTCCATCAATTTTCCAGAACAACTTCATACCTCCATCAATTTTCCAGAACGTCATCTTCAAGAGCCGTCCTTCAATTTCATCTTCGCTCCATCTTCGTACGCGACGTGGATCTTCGTTGAAGGGACTTCATTCTCCAATACGATCCAGTTCGCTCAAATATCCCCAGGTATGCTTGCTAAAACTCCTTGTGTGTTCTTCAGATTAGATTGCGTTGCCTTCAACGATTAGGGTTTTAATTGATTAATTGATTTGGTGCGTGGTTTAAGACTAGATCCTGAGTAGTGATTTCTTGTGAGGGATTGAAGTGTTTGGGTGAGGATTTGTTTCGTTTAGGGTTTGTTGGTTTGATTGAGGATTCGGAGATGAGTTGCAGAGAGAGTGAATAGAGGAAGAAGATGGTGAAACGGCTAGGGTTGATAGTGAGTGAACAGTAGTTAGGGTTTGGGTGGAGATGAGTTTTGTTTAGCATGTAATTGGACTAGGATTTGGACGCTGGGCTTAGGCCCAAACGTTTTACTGATGCCACCCTCTCAGTTGCTCGTATACCACCCCCCTGTTTGAGAGAACTGAATGAATCAGTTTGGGCCTTAGGCCCTAGTTACTAATGACACCCCCCTGGGCGTAGCCCATAATGAAAATAACTGCCAAAACCTGCTAACGGCACCCCCCTAGGCTTTTTTTCTTTTTCTGAGTTTACTAGTTGTTTGAGGAACCTGGGCCCTGCGCCCTATTTGCTTTTAACACCCCCAGAATCAGGGCCCAGCTAGAAATAACTAGGTTTCCCTGCTGTTTAAACCCCCCAGCTTTATTTCAATTTTATTTCAATTTCCTTTATTTTCTTTGCATATCAAATAATTCATAAATAAATGAAAATAAACGATTTTTTTAATTCTTCTTTGTTATACCATTTCATGAAAATGTTAAGAAAATTAAATAAAAATAAAAATGCCATTTTATTTTTATTTCCTATTTTTGTGCATATTTTCCATTTTAATTGATGTGTTTTTAATGTTTTTAATGCATGCATATCATTAGAAAATTCATAAAAAATAGTAGATTTAGTCAAATAATTCCGTTCTTTTTTCTGTAGACTCGTAATTCAGTGTAGAATTTTACAGTGCAGAAACCTTAGCTTGATCATGCATTTTCATTTTAATTGCATTTTTCACTGTTATTGATGTTGAATAAATTGGTTTGTAGATATGTCTGTGTTGCTGATTTTAGTTCTTTCATCTGGTGTTGAATTTTATTCTGATTTTTCAGTATGCTGTCATAGAGCCATGTAGGTTTCCCATAGATTTTTTGATAGATTTTTGTAGGGTGTCCTGATGTGATTTGTCTGAGCCTGAAGATAGGAGAAGTCTTGATGACTTCTGACTTTGAAGTTCAACTGTGGTTGAACTTCAGAGATAGTCTCTTGTGGTTTCTTGGCCTGTGGGTTCTTCTTGAAGGTGGGAGCTGATTGAGGTCCTGTTGGAGCTTGCAGAGATGCAGTGGATTGAGGCTTAGCCTAGGAGCTTGTTGTCTGTTTGTGAGGTTCGAGATCCTGAAGT